ATATATATATATATATATATAATCATACTTAATTAAAAAGTGACATAAAAAATAAATATGATCACACTCAATTAAATTAAGTATAATTAAAATATCAATCTAATTTTTTTTTTATCACACTTCTAATAAAAGTGAGATATTTTCATTTATCAAAGTGTGATCTTTAACTGTTTTTGTAGTAGTGATGTGAAATTGAAGATTCCGGACCTTCCTCCTGCAGGGGAAGGGAAAGATGCGACTAAGGAATCTTGTACACTTTGAAATGTAGAATATTTGTTTGCAAAGAAAAGGAAGCATTTAAGAGACTCTAAAAACAATTCAGTTAGCTAAAGGAGCACAGAATGCAATAAAAAAAATACAACTTGACGTTTTGCTTTGCTTTGCTTTCTTTCTTTCTACTATAGAAGCCCATGCCGAGAAGATAAACAACACATTATTTTATCCTCAATTCAATAGTTTATTCATTGTATCTTTGTGGATCTTATAATTTTAATTATAACAATTTACCTTTTAATTTTACATTTTGTGTCACATTGATATTGATAACAACCGTGAGGAAATAACTCAACTACATACTCCTCATATGCCATTCTGACAAAATGAAAAAAATGAACAAATAATAGTTGTAGCTTCATCTTGTATCAATTTTTGGGAGATTTACGGGTAGGTCCTGATAAGTAGATTTATTGTCCAATAGGTCCTATGATAATTAATGACATTTTTCCTTCAACACTATTAAAAAACGTCACTAATTGTTAACTTTCAGCGACAATATGAAAATTGTCACAAAAAAATGTAACTAATTATAAGTTTTAATGACAGTTTAAAAAAATCGTCACAAAAAAGTGTCACTAATTCACAACTTTTAGTGACAATTTAAAAAATTCGTCATAGAAAAACATCACTAATTATAAGTTTTAGCGACAATTTATAAAAATCATGACCAAAAAAAGTCACTAATTATTAATTTTTAGCGACATATGTAAAAAATCGTCACAAAAAAATTATTAGCGACGATTTTACCAAGACTTATTTTCAATAGGACTTGATGAGAATTAAGTCCAATTATTTGGACCTATTGGTAGTTTACACTTAATTTTTTTAGTTCGATTAATTTCGATTTCAAAAAATTAGCGCTTTAATTTTTGTAATTTGTGTTTAGTTGGTCAAAAAAGCTATGAATTTTATGCAGAATAGGCACATGAGGACGTAACCATGTTCCATTATAATAGGATCAAATATGCACAAACTAAAAGATTAAAGGAAAAAATTGTTGGTCTAATGGATTATTCGGTCCAATGGGCCAGATACTACACAGTAGTTGATGATTTATTAATAAAATGAGTCATTTGTTATATAATTAAAAACTTTAAGAGGCGTGACGTACTTTTCAAAATCACAAGGGACAATCTATATTTTAAACAAATTATATTTTTGTAATTTACCCTATTAAAAACACACTTCTCATCTATTTTCTAATTTTTTTGATAATTTTTTTTTCTTTTAAATTTAAGTTATCAAAGGAGTACAATTCTGCATACATGTAAGAAAGGAGAGAGGGGAGTTAATCAATCAAGATTAGAAAGACATAAAAAAAATGCCAATTTGTGAGTTGGGGGACTAACCTCAGGACAATTAAGCAAAACCCCCAATCATAGTTGTCGTCCAATAGAAATTCCTTTGAGGACGCTGTTGAAACTATCTCAAGTACACCAACACATAAGTGGGTAGAAGGATCAAACAGTGGGATATAGTTTAAATACTACATCAATGACCACGTCAACACTAGGTGCATATGCAACATGTCATAAAAAAATATTACATTTTTTGTTTATGTTTATAGCATTTTTCTTTTAAAAATTAGTTAAGTTAGTTTAATTGGTTAGCTAAAATAAAGAGTATGGTCAGAGCACATACTAACCAAGTTAGTTAGGCAAAATAAAAGGAGTAATTTTTTTGGGTATTTTACAAGGCATTTTGTCTAACAATCTTGGAGTTGCTCTTAAGAGCATCTCCAACTCACTAGGCACATAATATCTGTTAGTTAAAATGCATAGTATAATTCATTTGTTTAAACTCGAATGCACTAGGTTTATTATTAGACATTTTATCTCAACTCACATTCACTAGTTAAATGAAACTAACTTTCAAAGGCTAAGCAAAATATTTTTGACCTTTATGATTTTTTCCCTCCATCTTCATTACTGATGTGACATTTCTTAAAGTGAGTAATATTTGGATGAATAATTAAAATAAAAAGCACAGTTAGAGTGCAAACATAAAAAAGGTAGATAGGTAAAATAAATTATATACATTATAATAACTTTTAGATAGATAAAATACCTAATATTATTGAAGATAATCTAACATAGTGACATTTCACATTTAAACCAAATTTATATGTTTTTGCCATTTGCCCTATGGTTCATTTTATGATTGTCATCTATTGAGAAAAAAACAAGTATGATGACAAAGATAATAATACTTCCAGTGACATCCACGGGGCCACGTTTGCACAATGAAGATCATTTAGCATATAGGGAAATTGCAACCATATATAAATTGGTATAATATTATCATAAAAATTCTTAATATCAATTATAAAATATGTAAATTCGTCATAAATTAACGTAACAAAATGTTCAAAATTTAGTGGTTCATGTAACAAAAGTTTGTGATTTGGTTATAATATTTTTTGTTACGTCAATATGTGACAAAATTACACATTTTGTAATTGATATTACGAAATTTTGTGATAAAATTATGCTAATTTGTGATAAGGTGCATATGGTACACAACCTTAGAGGGGTGTGTATCATAAAATTTCCCACAAATATATATATATATATATATATTGTAACACAGGATCCTATAATTAATATACAACAATACTATAAATTCATAAAAAATTACCTAAAAAACTAAATCATTGGATTACATTTATTGTGAGTGATTTTAAATTTACACTATTCAATCACTAACTTTTCAGGATAAAATTTAGATTATATTTTCATAATGCATAACATTTCTTTTTTTTTTTTTTTTTTTTTTTTTTTTATTTATTTATTTTCGTTTGTTTGTTAACAATGATACTCTATTCAAGTTCTGAACATTTATTTTTGAGTAAGAGGTGTTGGATTTTTTTATTAATAGTTTGTAATATTAAGTGTTATTTTTAATTTGAATGATGTTTTTTTTTTTAATTGAAAAAATGTTTTTACAAACTCTTACTCTAATTTAATTTTTGGATAGAGGTTTTTTAAAATAATTACACTGACTTCATTTTTAGTAAAATTAAAGAGACCAAAATTAATGCAAATGGTATAAAGACAAAAAGATTTACAAGGCAAAATATATATTTTAATGTAAGAGAGATGAAAATAACATTTTTTTCATTTATACGACTAATCAATTTCTTATGAAAAAAGAGGTAAGAGTGATATGAATTAAAACTATAAAGGAGTCCAGTATAATTATAAGACTTACTATATTTTCTCCAAAACTTAGTAGAGGTTAGTGTAATTTGTTAGGATTAAAACTGTGTGTTGAATTCCTAAACCCCATGAATCTTGGAAACTATGAATCACAAAAAAAATAAATAGACAGAACACACAAATATACGAAATTCAGCAACGTGCCTATGTTCTCAGGAGCCACACCAATTCACTATGTTGAGTATAGAATTACAAACACTCTTCTTCTTTCTCACACTAAACAACAACATCAATATCTCTTTTCTCTCTAATCCTAAAATGTATAAACACTGTTACATTATATAGGGTAAAACTCTGAGAAATTCTATTTCTACACACCTACCTACCTCTGTGCACACACTTGATGATTTATTTTTTTATTATAGTTTTGCCCTAAAATAAAATTACTAAAGTGCCCTTATCTTTTTCACCAAAACCCAATTTCTTAACCCTAACCCTATCTCCCACCCATCGCTATTGCCGCCGCCACTGCCGTCAACTCCACTACAACTTCTTTGCCGCAAAACCACCATCCCCTCCTAAGGATTTAGATTGCGTTTGGCTAGGTTTATTGATAGGAAACAATGCATGTTGATTTGAACAAATTTTTTTTTTGGTGAATAGATTTGAACAAATTTAATCCTACAGAATATTTACAAAAAAATTCATTTACAAATAGATGCATAACACATGGTAATTAAAACAAATGAACTACATATCCAGAAACATAAGTGAAATATGATTAATTAAGCTCTGTAATAGGTCTATCAATGGCTGTGTATTTCAAATATCAACCAAATTTAACCCAAAAATCAAAAACAAACCAAAAAAAATTTAATAACTTATAAATCCATAATTAAACCATAGCTCTAACCAACATGCCATTTACAGTGCCTCAATGTAACAATTTTTTTTTTAAAAATGAACGAAAATTCTTTTCAAGACCGAAGCAGTGGAGAAGAAACAATACTTACCAATGGGTGTTGGTTTAGGGTTTCAATGTTAGAGAGAAGGATATTTTTGGCAAAAATGATTGTGCATTGAGTAAAATTACAAAATTCAAAATTAATTGGTGTGTGCATTGAAAGAGGATGTTGAGTAAGATGTTTTAGCATGTGGAAATAGAATTACTTCAACTTATGGGCCAAAAATAGCCTAACAGGCCTGGAAAAAAATTCTGTTGCGGGGGCCCACCCCCAGGCTTGGGCTTTCTATTGAAGGTTGTCTACATACCCAACATAATTTACCCTAAATTTTTTTGCAAGCTTTGGTCTCAACCATAATCAATTTAAGCTGTTTTTGTGCTTCACAGTATGTTTTGCCTCTGCATTTAATTGAGTTTGAATTTTTATGGGGCTTTTGTATACTGCCTTTCATTTCTGTCCTAGCTATAAAAGGTGAAAATGTTGATGATGGAATCAATTGCTTGACATGCCAACTCAATGAACACTTCTGCTATTCTGCATTTTCCATACAAACAGGAAATAACTGCATCATTTGAGGTTCATTCTGATGAAGTGAACGTAATTTTTTTTTTTTTTTTGATTGATCAGCAAAGAAAGTAACATTTTATTAATGCCAATAGAACATTACAAAAGGGGAGAATGAAATAGTTGGCCAGAATCCAACTGCCAAGAGGAAACCAAAAAAACCCAAAACACTCCCAACCTTCTTGAAACAGAGGAAACAAGGCATGATAGTCCAACAACTATCTCTAGAATCAAAAGATAGAACAAAAGAAAACATAGCAGCAACAAAAAACTGAGATGATTCAAGTTGGTCAGTGGTAATTGACTACTTTGGATCAATCAATACCACGATGGAAGTTCCCAGCAATCTGTAAGTGCTAATACAATCCTGCAAGTCGTCATCGCAAGCTATTAGAATTGTTTGATCTTCCTCATCTTTATACTTGACATAATAACTTCCAGCTTCTAAGTGCAGCCTCTTTGCTATTTGTTGTTGCAACTCAACTAGTCCTGATGACAAAGACAGCCGAAACTTTATTGTAATATCATTTATATATTTTGCCCTTATGGTCACAGTATTTGCATCTTCGATTGCTATATTATGTGGGTTTGCATGAACAACAGTAGCTGAGGCTTGAATGAAAGGCAGATCAAAACTTAATTGTGATATTTGTTGATGATCAACACCCCGGGAAGATTCGCTAGGCTGAGATTGACCAGCCATATTCTTCTTGCGTGGTGGCCACCTCGAGAAACCATAATCCCTACAAACACGCTTTAGTGTAGATCGGCTAACTGCAAAAGGAAAAATCTAGTTAAGAGACACAACTTAATGTTTGTTAGTGCAAAATGTCAAATATTTCTTTACGAGAAGAGTGTCAAGTTGAAAATAATAAGTAAAATCACAAGCAATATTTTATTTTAATTTGTTAAAGAGTGTAGATACCTTTGAGGTTATCTGCAGCATCCTGGATGCTCTTTTTTGAATTTTGTAAGATATCATCTAAAGGAATTTCAATTTTAACTCCAGTCTTATTGTGCACTCTTTTTGGCCTCTTTGTTTTGCCTTTTTCCCGTGAACAAGTAACATCAATGTTGCTTTGTTCTGCCCTTACAACATTGCTTTCATTGCTTAATGCATCCATTGATTGTTGATTCGATAAATTCAGCTGTGTCATCTCTCCTCCACTTTGTAACGGCTCCAGCCTAGGCAAAGATTTAGTAGTTTGGGACATTTGAACAGAATCAATTTCTTCAATATATAAATGTCCCCCAAGTTCTTCTCCAGAAGCAAGCTTAAAAGTATGAAAATTTTTCTTCATCGTTTCCAATATTTTCCTCAATGCAGTCTGTTGATTACCATAGTAGTCTTTGTTGCTTGGCGGCATAAAGCACTCTAACACGTAAATGTCATTTCCGGTGCAACAACTTTGCAAGCATATTGCGAAACAACAACCTAATTTATCATATCGTGCATAGTGCGCCAATGGGTGGTCAATTATGCTAAGTTGGGTTACATCCTTGCACAATAATACATTAGGGGAGTAGAATGCTCTCCCAACAACTCCTTGCCCCTTTTTTAAGTGAAGTTCAACATTGACCATACCGAGTAGTTTGTAGCAGTCAACTTTATCGAATTTGAGTATCGCATGGAAGATGTCACCCTTAACCAGAGCCCTGCATCTCCAGGATACCCTGCACGGGGCCCATACTTGAGCAAAATGTAAACCATGAACTTCCCGCACAACTTCCAACACCTTGCTGATTTCATCTAAGGCTTCACTTTTTTCCACATTCTGAAACTGGTTGAAAGTATTGTCACGTCCAAGTGTTGTCAGAAATATTCCTCATCATATTAATTAAAAAAATAAAATAAAATACCAAATTTGACATTACACTACAATGTACCACTTACTAAATCCGTGTCATCTGTGTCATGGTCTGCATTTGAAATTGAAGATTCCAGACCTGCCTTCTGCAAGAGAATGGAAAGATGCTACTAAGGAATCTTGTACACTTCGAAATGTAGAATATTTGTTTGCCAAGAAAAGGAAGCATATAATATAATGGAAAAACCATTCAGTCACAGCTAAATGAGCATGGAATGCAATAAAAAAATACAACTGGACGTTTTGCTTTGCTTTCTTTCTTTCTACCATAGAAGCTCATGCTGAGAAGATAAACAACACACTATCTTATCCTCAATTCAGTAGTTCATTCATTGTACCTTTTTGGATCATATAATTTTAATCATAACAATTTACCATTTAATTTTACATTTTGTGTCACACTGATATTGATAACAAACGTGAGGAAATAACGCAATTACATACTCCTCACATGGCATTCAGCACTGACAAGTTGAAAAAAATGAACAAATAATGGTTGTGCTAATGGTCCATCTAGCTTCATCTTGTATTAATTTTTTTAGTCCGATTAATTTTGATTTCAAAAGACTAGCGCTTTAATTTTTGTAATTTGTGTTTAGTTGGTCTAAAAAACTACGAATTTTATGCAGAATAGACACATGAGGAGCACGTAGCCATCTTCCATTATAATAGGATCAAATATGCACAAACTAAAAGATTAAAGGAAAAAATTGTTGGTCTAATGGATTAGTTGATCCAATGGGTCAGATACTACACAACAGTTGATGATTTATTAATAAAAGGAGTCATTTGTTATATAATTAGGAACTTGAAGAGGCGTGACGTACTTTCCAGAATCACAAGGGACAATCTGTATTTTAAACAAATTATATTTTTGTAATTTACCCTATTAAAAACACACATCTCATCTATTTTCTAATTTTTTTGATAATTTTTTTTTTCTTTTAAATTTAAATTATCAAAGGAGCACAATTCTGCATACATGTAAGAAAGGAGAGAAGGGAGTTAATCAATCAAGATTAGAAAGACATAAAAAAATGCCAATTTGTGAGTTGGGGGACTGACCTCCAAATAATTATGCAAATCCGGCAAATCAATGTGGCAGTCCAATAGAAATTCCTCTGAGGGCGCTGTTGAAACTATCTCAAGTACACCAACACATAAGTGGGTAGAAGGATCAAACAGTGGGATAGCCCAAGATAGTTTAAGTTGGCAACGTAAAGCATGGTCGCGCAATGGATACTCTTTGATAGAGTAATATTCTACATTGGGAGAGAATTCGGGAAATCCATGGTTGAACACACGGCCAGGAACCCCAAGTTGTTGATCAGAACTCTCTCTATCCATGTAAAATTTATAGTCCATAGAGATCATCCTATACCCACAAACTCCTTTAACATCATCATCAAATCTTGTATCAAATGTAGAAAGAGCGAAAGGTTGGTTTTGAGTTGTAAGATAAGACCGGCCCTCCACCGTCATTGCGGGTGCCCAAAATTGAATTAGTGTCGGATATTCAAACCAATAGGGTAAACACTTTCGAAGGACATCTTTGATCTTCCGTTTTAAATCCAAAATATCTGATTAATAATAACAAAAAACAAAATTGGAGGAGAGAAGTGAGATTTGAAAGGCAGGTAGTAGGTAACTGTGTTGATTTAAAATTGACTTATAAATAAAACCCCATTATTACAAATTAAATAAATAAAACCCATATTCAAAGGAGGAGGAAGAAGAAGATGAAGAAAAGAGACATAAAAGTCCCACTCACTCGGAGGATGTTCGGATTGGTCGTCTTCGCGGCTCCAGAAAACCCATCCACAGAAGATATCTATATCATCCACCACTGGGCAGCGGTTGAGTTGGGTGTCCATATATTGCTTGAAATCGTCAGGGAAATATGCTGCTACTATTCCTTCTTCATCGCTACTGAAATCAAAAGGGATATATCGATCAGATTCGGCCATTTTCTGAGAATAACTTATCAGGGAACCTCAACTCAACTCAACTCACACAAGCCAGCCCAACCCAACCCTACCCTAACCAGGGTCATAGCTTTGTCTATAGATAACCAAGAGAGGGGGCCACTACATAATATACATGAGTGGTTGTCATATATATATATATATATCAATCGTTGAGATCATAGGGTTGTAGGAGTCTCTTAAAAAAAAAGGTCCCAAATATTTTTCATTTTTTAATTAGTTTGTGGGATGAAAAAAATTTATGTTTAGAATAATTTGTAAATTATTTTTATAGTTAAATAGATAGTTGTAAAAGAAAAAATAATTGTTTGAGGTGTATAATATAACATTTTATTTTATTAGTTATTTTAATCAAAAAAAATCAAATTAAACAAATTCGGTAAATGTAACGATATTTTAAATAGTATTTGAGTTGATTACACTTATTTCTTTTCTCTTGGTTTTTTCAAAAAATACATTAACTTTTAAATTCGCACAATTATATTTTACTCCTTTCTTAATTTTTAATTTTTAATAGGATAATTACACGGAGACTTTTCATTATTAGTAAATTATTTTTATAGTTAAATAGATAGTTGTGAAAGAAAAAATAATTGATTGAGGTGTATAATATAACATTTTCTTTTATTAGTTATTTTAATCAAAAAAATCAAATTAAACAAATTCGGTAAATGTAATGATATTTTAAATAGTATTTGAGTTGATTACACTTATTTCTTTTCTCTTGGTTTTTTCAAAAAATACATTAACTTTTAAATTCGCACAATTATATTTTACTCCTTTCTTAATTTTTAATTTTTAATAGGATAATTACACGGAGACTTTTCATTATTAGCGAACATCACTTTATTCCATTCATCTATAAATTCGTATATATTAATCAAATCAACTATAATAATGACTTTTTCCATCTCAAAATATTAGTCATTTATTTCACTTTTTATTGTCTCAAAATATTAATCTATTTTAAAAAATCAAGGACAAAAATAATATCAATTTTCTATTTTACCATTCTTTTAAATTCATTAACAACATAAAAAATACAATTATGGCAATTGATATTCCCTAAAAAATGTATTATTAAGGATAATTTTGAAAATTTAATTTTTTTAAAGTGCAATAATTGTGCTACTAAAAAAATTAAATTTCCTAAAAGAGAACATTATTTTGGAACAGAGAGTATAATATTATCTGATCAAAATAGAACAATTATTGGACTTCACCGACCAATGATTAACAATCCGTCATCATAATCATTTAGCAGATTTAGTCACAACTCCAGAAATTACAAATGAGTCACCTTACATGTACGTTAAACATATTCTATTACAAAAATAAATAAACTAAGTATTTAAAATTTTCAAACTTTAAATAAACTGTAAAACTATTATATTATTGTCTTGAAAAAGAAAGAAAAAAAGAACATAAACTTTTACGATTGCATTGGATGATATTTTATTTTTAGAATCGTTGCATAATAATCTCATTGTCGATAGTGTCAAATACATCATTTTTCTATGTAAGAACTTATTCATCTATTAATTTCTCATTCAATTACATAACCGACTCTTTATTATTAAATAAATAGTTAGGCTTTGAACTTGCAGTTTTGTTTCATTGTTTTGAACCATTCATTTTGTAAAACTCTTGATTTTTATCATCTATAAAAATGTTTATATCGATTCGATAATCGTAACTTATTCATTTTATCTCATGTCTTAAAAAAAAAGAAAAAAAGACAAGTATATTTTTAAAAATAAATCATTCACTTTTGGTAAACAAACATAATAAAATAAAATGTTTACAATTATTAGATCGATCTCATTTTTTTCATAGATGATACACACTAAGGCCACGTTTATTTGGCGGATTCGATTGGATGAGATTGTTAGTGAAAGGATTGTTAGTGAAGAGATTGTTAATGTGGGGATCGTTAGTGAGGAAATTAAATAAAAGTGTGTTTATTTTGATGATAGTGTGGAAGATGATTAGTGATGGGATTGCTAAATTATTTTTATATAAAATAAATAAATAAATTATTTCTATATTTAAAAAAATTAAAATAAATATTAAAACAAACAGGTGCACTTGATAAAAAAAATAAAATTTTTATATAAAATAAACTCAATTCTCTCACTATTTTCTTAATCCCACATAAAATTCACCAAAGCTAATCCCCTTAGGGAAGGGGATTACTTAGCCCTCCACACTAGCAATCCCCCCTTCCCAAATCAATACCAAAGAAGCTATGGTGGGATCCACAGCTATCTTAATCTAGCCCGACCTCCCATCACGCCAAACAAACGTAGCCTAAGAGTCTTACAAAATGACGAAACACCTGATAAGGCCGACAGGCCCTCCAAGTTATTCAAACTAAACTTGAGTAAAGCTCAATCTTAAATAAAACATTTGGTGAGACCCTAAGGTTTTTTTATTTTGATGAGAGTTTGTTTTTAGGGGCAATTTGGAAAGGTAGTAAAAAGTTAATTTTTAACTTTTAATTCATTTTGAGTCACATCACTTCTTATATTTTTTATACACAAAAGGACAAAAAAAAGTCAAATCAATTTTTAACCAATTTTCCAAATCACCCTTTAGTGGTGGGTGTAGAGTTCTATTTGGAAGTCCTTTAATTTTTAATAGGATGAGACTATTTAAAATAAAATATTAACAACATAAATAAATAAAAATTAATAACAAAACAAGAAAAAGGCTTGTCTTAATGTAAATATATTTTAATTTTAAAATCATAATTTGCAAATAGTCATCGTTAAATAACTCAAAACATCTCAGATTGACAAAACCATTCTCAGGCTAGCATTAGATTGATCTATGTTTATTTGAAGCTAATTTCAATTTATACAATAATACCTACACAGAACGTGTATGTTCTATAATCAAGTTCACTCATTGCTGGTTACACTCGTAATCAAGCATTCTTGGAAAAAAGATCAGTTCATTTCTAAGTTTAAAATACGAAAACTTAGGACCATGTAATAATTTGTACACAAGAAAAAAAAATCCCAAGTTGTAAAACACATAAAATAAGCCTAATCAAGTAAAGTTGGTTATTACTAAAGCTTAATCACGCAAAAAAATTGAAACTGACCTCACAAACATTGCATCACTAACACTACTTTGACAATGTGCTATATATATACATATAGAGAGAGAGAGAGAGAGAGGATTCTTAATACAATCAGCCATTCAGTTTAATTTTCTCGTTCTCCTGACACAAAGATTGCAATTAAAATAAATTGTGTTCCGTAAATGATAAGAAAGAAAAAGAAATCAAGTATTCAATTGAGGGGAAGCCAAAACAAAATGCTGTGAATGCGCACTGCAGACCGTCAACAAATTTAACTACAAAAAGTGATCCTAGCATCAGGGAAAAATTCAGCAAAACATAAGTTTAGCATCAGGAAGTTAGACCATAGAATGGTGGTAGCATTGACAACATCGGGCAGCATATCTTTCACACTATCCACTCCAACTCCCTTGCATAACTGAGTGTCTGATTGATGAGTTGCAGAGACGGTATCTCCTTGCAAGCTGCAGATTCTTTTGCCTTTTTTAAAATCACAAACCCGTTCTTTATATCCCACTCAGGATGTTCCTACAAATTGCATATAAAACGATGCTTATCAAAGAACCCTTGCATTGGACACCAAATCAAGAACAAGGCTTCCATGTTGGTGGATTTTTGTATTATCATTAATACAAGGTTAATATGCTATCACTGAAGTATAGAATTTAAAAACCATAAATAATGCATATATTGCAACTCCACAAAGCCCTTGCATCTAGGCTCCATTTGATTCATTGATTTGGTGATTAAAAAAAAAAAAAAAGGAAAGGAAAATATAAAGGAAATCATTTGTCTTCGTTTCGTTACCATAGAAAATAGTGCAGAAAAGAAAACGCGGTGAAGAAAATAGAGAAATGTCAACTTTTAAATATCATTTTTTCCCTCTTATTTTTGATTTCTTACCATTTCTTATGAATTTTTTTTAATTTAATATTTATTTATGTACGACAAAATAAGGAAGAAAAATTAAAAAAACTTTTCTTACACATTTATTTCTACTTTCTTCCTGCTTTCCCTCACCATTTCCAAGCACCAAACTGAGACCTAACAGACTATTGAGAAGCAGATAGAGAAACAACAAAAATTAAAACAGGATGTAGAATCCAATTTTTATTGTGTACACGCTGTAATATTCCATATCATATTACCCAACAAAATTTTGCTCAATACAGCTCTTGGCCAAAAGGGGGCAAGTAAAAATGATGGGTAATAAAGAACAAAAAAAGAAAAAGAAAAATAAGAGTTGACTTCTAATTAGATGGTTAGTACTTCCCTTTAACTAAGACCACCAAAGTAGATCCAGCCATTAATGCATTCCACTGGTTAACAATAATAAGAATGAAAATGAGCATAGCAGCAAGAATTTTACCTCTTTGACATACTCAAAAAGTTCTTTGTCTGAAGAGAACAACAATATTTTCCTTACATCATTAATTGAAAGTGAATCGTAGGCCATTTCACAGCATCCAGCTATTTCATCTCTGCGAAAGACAATGAACTACTAAGGGCACAAAACTAACCACACTTTCTACCAAGTAGACAATGTGTGTATCTAAAGCAGTAACATACCAACCCACACTTTCCAAAGTGGTCATGCTACTAGAGTTGGAATGAACAAAATAAGAAACGACAAGAGTGAGCGATCTCTCCGCAGTGCATATGTATACATAAAGAATGTATGCATAAATCCCACTTCTCAGGTCGCTAACTTGATATTATGAACAGATGTAGCAAAAGAGATATCAAAATGTGATAACCAAAACAAATTAACATAGGTCTCACTTAACATAATTCAAATTTAGCAGGAAAGTCAATGTTGCTACGAAGCAAACAATGTGCATATGTAAAAGCAGTAATACCAACCAACACTTTCCAAAGTGCACATGGTACCATAGTTGGAATGAAAAAAATAAGAAGAGACAAGTGTGATTGATCAGTCCGCAGTGCATATGTATATAGAGAATTTGTGTGTAAATCCCTGCTCTCAGGTCACTAACTTGATATTATGAACAAACGTGGCAAAAGGGATAGAAAAACATGTTAACCAAAACAAATCAACATAGACCTCACCATAATTCAAATGTAGTGGGATAGTCAATGTTGCTACCAAGTAGACAAAGTGCGTATGTAAAAGCAGTAATACCAACCAACGTGCATTTAATTTCCATCACTATTTCCGCCCAAACGAAATTCAACTATTGGCTGCAACTGTCCACCAGCAAACTCTCGTAAATGCCCCCATTTTCCTCTACTTAAAAGAATACATGATATTATATGAACGGAATGAACAACTATAATCAAATAAAACACCTAAAAAATCAGATATTATTTCAACTCTTGCCTCTCCTTTTAATCTCTGACATAAGTAAAGTCACACAGTTTACCTGACTGTCTTTGCCAACAGATACATGAAATAAACATAAGTTTCATGGGGTACAGTCTGTCTTGCACTCAAGACACGGTTGTAAGCCCCCTCCATAAACGATTGCTCCAGCTCTACAGCATGCTTGATACAATTATTCGCCACAGCACTGGCTGAAAGCAATTCCAATTCAGTGTGGAATTCAGCAATTCTATTCTGCACAAGGAGTCTCAAAAGGTTGAGACCTAAGATAGGATACTCCTGAGGAGATTGTGGAATGCGGCTACTGCTCCATCAAAGAAAAAAATGGTCATGACCATTACATTTCAAATTCAAAAGGTAAACAAGATAAATAAGTCAGCAGTAAGCTCACTCTTCGAACCAGACAGAAATCAACGATGGCCATGCCTGTCTCAATTGCATTATTGAACACTGACTACCCAATTCATCGGCACATTGTCAACCACATTACCCCCGCTATATGCCACTAGAAATAGAAAAAGTTGTTCACAATCATGAAATTAACGTGTAGGATGTTTTGCTTTATTGTTAACTGCTTGAGGACTTTCTAAAAGCGGCACACTTGGACACATGGATCAGATAGGAAGGAACACAAACAGACATGTTCCAAAAAAACATATACAAAAATCCTTCATATACCTTAAATTCAGTCTAATTGTTTGGACAAGTTACTGTGCATTGAGTGTCACATGCACACTAGCTCCTCCATGACCACAACTAGGATTAGCTAATTCAAATTAATACAGATATGAAGCACATAGAAGTTATAGCTTGAAGGCAATGCATTTAAAAATATGTTTCTCATCCAACACAATAATTCATCACATAGGTATGCAGCAAGACAACATAAACTGAAGGTGTTTTTGTCCATCACCATTACTACTACTACTTGCACAAAAAAAAAAAAAAAAAAAAAAAAAGTCTGATAAGAAAAATCTGGTTTCAATCTGAAGAAACCAAGATGTTAACATAATAGGCCACACAAATTAGAACATATAAGCAATTCATTGTCTGGTTAGTTTTCTGAAGTCATCTAACCTGTGGAGGGGGAAAAGAAGCATAGCTAGAAATTCTCCTCAAAAAATGACTCCAAATCAACTCAAACATGGCAAAAAAGTATATGACCTTTTTTATACAGCCTGAAAACATGTGGTCCTCATTTCATCTTTTGCCACCCATTTTTGTCAAGGATATTTAAAATATAAAGGTCATCCAAAAAACAAAAAAACAGAAAAGACATGAGAAGTTACTGTGCATCTGTATAGTAAGGTTTCAACTGGAAAAAATCCCTTTCAAAGGCATCCTGGTCCTCAATCTTCACACTTAAAACAACTGCATGCTCATATATATCCCCTGTAAATTGTCAGTCAGAAACATTATCAGTGAAACAGCTTAGGAATTGAAAATGGAAGTAATTTGACAAAATTTGGTACACATAATATTCAAGTTTCCTTAGAATGTAAATGTAAAACTTATACATTAGTCATGACCAGCATGCCATGTTAACCAAATCAGATGTTTTAGTCAAAATGCTAGGACTTGAAATAGTTAATCTTTTTAAAGCTACAATTGTTTAAACAAACTCAGTCATCAGTGATTTCCATCTTTTAATTTTCCTAATCCAATTTGCAAGTATGTTTCACAAGAGCATTCACCTAAAGGGCTGTGAAAACTTGTCTTATGCGATCTTCACTTTTGATCAACTTTTCCATAGTGGTCATCACTTTTCATACCTCAGTGCATGTTGTTATTATCATCGTCCCTCAACTGAAGATAGAGCTGACACCGCTCTTAAATGTCACAATACTTGGCCAACTTATGTTGCATGAGTTGCACACAGGGATGTGTTGGGTCTTGTGGACCCTGATAAGTATTGTACAATGAGCCTTGGGTCCAATGGCGGGTTTGGAGGGTGGTGTAGTTAGAACTAGTATAGTTGTTATGTTTAGCACCATAAGAGTTAGTTAGAGTTAGTTGGGCCTTTTATCCTATAAATAGGTGGTTAGGCATCTCTAGTATTCAGTTTTATGATATTTTGATATCGAATATTTCAGAGCTTGAGAGCTCTTGTACCCATTTTGGGATTTTCTCTCTAATGAAATCTCTTCTTGATTGGCTCTATCATTTTGGTATCAGAGCCTTAGAATCTGACCTGGTTCTCCTTGACTGTATGAGGCTTCATCATCCATAGAAATGAACAAGTTGCTTTGCCCATGTACTGCCCTGAGTCGAAGTAGCAATCTGACCTAAATTCCAAAGTCACGACTCAACCTGGGGTTCAAATCTTGATTGCAACATGAAAGCTTGACCTTCGATCTCTTGATCCTGTTCACTTGGATCGTCTTCGACATTCTTGTTTGTAAAACCCAGAATCTGCGAAGATCATTCTGATTTGAAGAACCCATTTGCGAAAATACCGCGATTCAAAGTTGCTGTTTCAATCGCAATCGCGATTTCGAAATCACAGAGCCCATAAGTTTGGAATTTCTGGAACTTCTTGCAACGCAATCTGGTTTCTTGAATTGAATTCGCAGGACATCTCGGCTTTGAAGTTTGTACTGGCCTTGCGACCAGGGTGTTTGAGTTCGAAGCCCAACTTTGATCCAGAAGCTTTGACACAGTTGTGACTCTCATCCTTCAGATTGCATCTAAGTTGATTTGTGATTTGGAGTTCTTCACGAGATTCGAAGTTGCTATCTCACGCAACTCCTGATTCAAAGTCACAAATGGGTTCAAGCGTTTTGAGATCGCAACCTACTGGATAGTTACAATCTGACTTGGTGGTTGAGATTCGAAGCAGAGGGTTTGATTCTTGCTCGAGTTCTGAGACTTGGATTTTCTTCTTGATTCGAATTCTGGTATGTCCACATCAGTTGATTCTTGAATCTTGGTTACTAAATTCTTGATTCTTGAAATCGTAATTTGATTCTTGAATAAACGCTTAATTTTTGGCTGATTGATTTCCTTCTGGACTGTTCAAGTTGAATTCCTATGTGGGTCTGTTTCTTGACTGGAATATCTGTGCCTTTGGTAGAATTGTTGCCTTCAAACCAAAAGGTTGTAATACTTGTGTTATTGCTGTATTAGTTAATTTGTCAAAGACTATTGAGAAGTCGTCCACTGTTTTGTGTCATATTGCTGTGACTTCTAGGCTCAACGAGTTTTTTGTAGAGGTGGTCGAGATAGGGTTTATGCTACGAATTTGGGTGATGATGCCAAGGTCAATCCTCCAGTTGGAAGGGTTAATGAGGTTCCATATCAAAGAGAAGAAATGACTGAGATGAGAAGGCAAATTGTTGCTTTAACCGGGACTAAGGTTCTGAAAAGCGTTTGCGGTTACCATAACAGTACTGGTGGTGCGGTGGCGGTGGTGGTGGCGGTGGCGGTGGCGGTTGCAGAGTGTAAAGGCCATAGCATAACGGTTGTGGTAACCAAAACCGCGAATTTTTTTATTTTTCGCACAATTTGAAAAAAAAACTTACCGATATGCATTTTTTTTTCCAGAATCATATTTATTGGGTTTTAAAATAAATTTTGATCAATTTTTGTTAATTTTTAAGTATAATCCAATATATTTCATATTTTTAAATCACTATAAACCGAGTGTTTTACATTTTATTTTAATAGTTAATGACTTTATATGTCATAAATCTATATTACACTTGTGGTAAAATTTTCTTTTATTGAACTTAGATGTAAAAAATTATTTTTTTAATTATTATATTTGTGGAAGCATATGCAAATTTTAACTTGAATAGTTTTAAAAAATAAATTATAAATGCTAATGTGATCATATAAAAATTAAAATATAAATGCTAATTTAATCATATAAAAATTAAAAATATATATATATAAAGGAAAAAAAATTCTTTAGGTTTGGATCACTTAAATATTCATTTTCTTTTTGGATAACCTGTAAATAAAAATAAAATAAACTAATCAACAAAAATTGACATGTATAAAATATGTATTAATATATAATTATAGGTGTTATATTTTTTAGATATTTTACAAAAAACTCAATCACTAACTATTATATATAAGATAAACAATAACAAAAGCAAAAGAATAAACAAGAGTCTAAATATATACATACATATATATTTTTAATCAAGTCAAATAAATAATGACTACACTTATTACTATTATTATTTTCAAACAATGTATATATAGACACACGCAAACAAAATGGTTGAGTGATAGCAGGTGAGTAGAATAACATCGGTCTTACAGCTTCAACAAATCAATAATAGGTTCATCTTCCCTCTTCTCTCTCTCTATCTCTTACTCCTCCATCTTCCCTTTTCTCTCTCTATCCCTCTTCCCCCCATTTTCAGTTTTTTTTTTTTTTCCCGAAAGAAATAGTTCGGAACTGTTACGTAACAATGCGCAACAAGCCGTTACAGCACCGTTATGGCAGCTATGGAAGCTGCTACAGCCGACACACCTGTGAATCTCAATTACACCACAAAAGCAAGGGTAACACGTGGTGCCTACCGCCGCAATCGTTACGTAACGCTGCATTTTGAAACCTTGACTGAGACGGTGCAACGTCTCCTACCTCCTATTGAAGGTAGTAATGGTTCCAAAGATTGTCAATTTGATGATTCCTTCGATGCTCCGCATAGGCGTAGAGCACAATCACATGAGTTTGATTCTAAATGGAATGACACCGTAAAGGATTTAGAGTTTCCCGAATTCTATGGAAGCTACAATCTGGATGTTTTCACGGAATGGTTGAAGACACTTGAAAGTCATTTGGAGTGTTATGATGTGCCAGAAGCAAGGAAAGCGAAATTGGTCTCTCCAAGCCTCAAAGGTTGTACCGCTGACTGGTGGAAACAATTACAAGTTGGTAGGCGAAGAAATGGCCAAGAAAAGGTTAGAGAGCGGAGAAAGATGAGAAAGAAGCTCAATGAGCACTTCTTGCCTTCGAGTCACGTGCCACCTTTGTTGGTTGAGAAGCACCAAAAGAAGGGCATTTCAAATTTCGGATATCACCGAAGAGGCTTGGCAATCCGACAACCATCCTATGACTATGTCCAAATTGGTTATTCAACTAGTGTGGGAATCATAAGATGCTCTTTAGTGACGAGGTGGTTCAACCAAATTATGATGAAGAAGATGTGGAAGAAAGTAGTGATCATGGGCAAGATTATGATCCGGATGTTCCTATCTTGGATGTTGGAGCTTCCATCTTTAGTGGAGAAGATTATGAGCAAACACAAGGTTGTAATCAAGATGTTCCTATCTTTGATGCGGAACAAAGATATGATGAAAATGTTTCCATCTTTGATGAACCAATGAGTGGGGCGTTTGATTACGATGAAGTTAATGTTTCATGAATATGAAAAGAAAGTTGATGTTTGTGCGTATGGCGGAGCTCCAATCTTTGACCACTATATGATGATGACAATAACTTTCTTGTAGAGAGCAAAGGTGTAGTTTTGTAGATGAAGCAAGTTTTGCTCTTGCATTGCTTCCCATGAAGGAAGTTGTAGCAATCCCTCTTATTCCTTTTCTAGATTCCAAGAAAATTATGGTGAAGAATCATAACATTGAAGTTTCATGGGTGTTGAATGATCTTTGCTTCCAAGAAATGCCTCTTATGCTATCTTCAAAGCCATTTGTTCCACTTTGTGCTGACTTGGTACCCAACCGGCTTCGTGGAGGAAGGATGCGTTTATTTTGGGCCCATGCAAGAAGCATTATTTTGATGACATCTTGTTTCCAAAATGGCATGCTACATGGGTGGCCTATTCACACCTCAACATGGCTTCGGTTGATGTCTATAAACAAGAACTCGTTTTGATGGAAGGACATTTGCAAGGATGCTCTTGAATATAGACTTGCAACTACTTAGTCTTGTTTGCCATTGCATGTCCATCATGCTTCCATAAGTCATTGTTTTGAGTCATTTTTTATTATTATTTTGTTGTCGAGTCAATTTGTTGTAGTTCCAACTTAAGGACAAGTTGTTTTTCTTTAGAGGGGAAGTCTGATGTAGTTAGAACTAGTATAGTTGTTATGTTTAGCACCATAAGAGTTAGTTAAAGTTAGTTGGGTCTTTTATCCTATAAATAGGTGGTTAGGCATCTCTAGTATTCAGTTTTATGATATTTTGATATTGAATATTTCAGAGCATGAGAGCTCTTGTTCCCATTTTGGGATTTTCTCTCTCTAATAAAATCTCTTTCTTGATTAGCTCCATTAGGGGCCTCCCCCAAGGGATGACGGGTCCAAATATTTTGGGTACTTTGGTAATTTCTTGTTACTTCTGCATTGTCCTAATTTTTATACTTATAAATGGATGAAGGGGGCACCGCTTGTACTGTAGAGAGTCATAGTTATATCGTTTTCTGATCTTAGTGAAAACCACAGTAACCGTGGACGTAGCCCTATTCTGGAGTGAACTACGTAAATCTTTGTATTCTTGTGTGTGTGATCTTCGATTCGTTTTATCTTTCTTGTTTGTTACCGATCCTTGTTAGGAAGAGACGATTTCCTAACAGGGCGAACACACGAATCTAACTTTGTTGGTGCAGACACAAATTTCGAAACATAAAGTGTTTCAACACATTTCGAAGTTCATGTCACAAATGTCCACTGGTTAATTCTTGGACTAAACAGTGTTGATTATTTGAATAGCAAGTTCTTATTTCCGATCTGTATTTCAAATCGTTAATTACACATTTTTAATTTAATGAAACCTCTAATTAATGAAGAACAAAAAATTAACAGAAAATAATCTAAGGAAAAGAAATATTTTATTGAAATTGTTGTGGGTTTTAAACCCTTGAATACAAAGTACCATTCTTGGGCTTGGAACCCTTTACCTATTGATCGCCATTATGCGTTTGTAGCGTAAGCTTTTGAGTTCTCTGGGTTTCTCTTCTTCTTTCTTGTGAAGACTTCTTTAACTCTTGATTTCTCTCTCTCTCTCTCTCTCTCTCTCTCTAACTTTTGATTTTTGATCCTTTCTCTTGTGTGATGGTCGTCATATTTATAGAGGGCCATAAATATGTGATAAGAGTGCCTCATTTCAATTTGAATTTCAAATTGAATGATAACGCCATTTGAATTTAGGTGTAATCATATCTGATTAACAGTATTGAGCTTTTAGATTTCATCCTGTGTGGTGTCCTTGCCATAAGCTCTACAAGTGCCATCCTTCGTAGGCTCCACGTGTTATTTGAGTATCTTGAGTAACGTCGTTGAGATATGACATCGTTTTATTTATGCACTTCAACAAATTAAATTGATCATTTTAGGAAGTGATTACCTACAACAATCCTATCATAGGCTCTGTGTGTCATTAACTGCTTGACTGTATTTGAAATCTGAACATAAATTTGGTTGAAATTTATGTGCCAATAGGTGGGGCAAAAGCACATCACTCCTAAAAAAGCGGGAGGGGGATGGGCTAGAGAATAAAATAAATAAATAAATAATCAATGGGTTCAAATCACTTGTCAAAACTTTGCTAGTTTTTTTAATCCAACATTAAATTCCAGTCTCTTGTCAAAACCCGTCCCTGAAACACCTAATTTTCAAGGCATGATAACGTATATGTTTACAATTTTTATGTTTATAAATAATTTAAAAACTATATACAAAAACTCATTTGGTGCCTAATTGTGTTTCTAAAAATTATAGACAAACTACACTAAATTTTTTATTATTAAAAAAAGAGTTTATTCTACTTGTTTCGAAAATAAGTTTTCATTCTTTCCACTTTCTCCTACCCCCTTTGGTCACCGCCACCAACAATCATATTCAGCAAACACTCGACACAAAAATAAAAAATAATAGCCAAACCTTGTGTATGTGTGATAAAGATATGATATGAATGACGATCTTGTACAATTGTTAGATGAGAAAACAACAAAGATTTTTTTTTTTAATTACAATGTATCTTCATACAAGGAAATAGAATGAGTTCATAATTACAGCATAAAACACAACAAACTGCCAAAATGGGAGACATCCCAAACAAATACAATAATTACAACATAAAACACGATTATAAATAAACTCCCAAAATGGAAGTGACATCTCAAACAAGTATGAGGGGAATAAATTTCACATGCAAGTGTGAAAAGTCAAACTCTTAGGACATGTTTGATTAGTAGGATTATAGCATAGGATTGGGATTGGAATTGTTAGCCCATGGACTCACAATCCCATATTTGATTGCAAATTTTATTAATCGGATTGCATGTACGGCGTACATTCAATCCAACAAAATTGGCAAAGTTTTAATATTGACGGGAGTTGGGGATCCTAATTTCAAGTATGAAAGAAAAAAATAAAATGAATACATAATGTTAAAACCTACCACTACCACTACCACCTACTACACCTACTCCACCCACTTCACCTACTC